TTGTGCTTATATTATGATATGCGTAGGTACTTTTCCTTTGAATTCTGTACCTGCCTTGGTATTATTTGACTCGGGTGCTAGTCGGTCTTTTGTATCTTTGGCTTTTAGTCAGCACATCGGTATTGATCGAGAAGTGATGAGTCGACCTTTGAGGGTTTCCATAGCTAATGAGAAAGCGGTATACGCCACCGAGGTGATTCGAGGATGTGTGCTCGAGATTTTTGGTGTCAAGTTGCCTATAGATCAGGTTCCATAGCGATGGGAGATGTCTGTGTCATCGTGGGCATGGACTGGTTGAGTAAGTTTGGAGCAGTCATTGACTGCGAGAGACAACTGGTGATCATATGAGACCGTAGTGGGGGAGTGATTAATGTGTATGGCGAGGGGACCCGGTGTGGGTCAGCGTTTTGTTCGGCTTCCAGGGTGAGACAGAGTTTGCAGCAGGGTTGCAGTGGATTCATAGCCTATGTGATGGACACACGAGTGGCCGTAGGGAGGCCAATTTCGGTTGACGAGGTTCTAGTAGTGTGCGATTTTTCGGATGTGTTTCCCGAGGAACTGTCAGGCGTGCCTTCGGAAAGGCAAGTGGAGTTCCGTATCGATCTGGTTTCGGGAGCGGCACCCATCGCCAAGGCGCCTTATCGCCTCGCTCCACCAGAAATGTGGGAGTTATCCTCGCAGCTTCAGGAGTTGTTGGGAAAGGGGTTTATTCAACCGAGTAGCTCACCTTGGGGAGCGGCGATTCTTTTTATCAAGAAAAAGGATGGTTCACACCGGATGTGTATCGATTACCGGGAGTTGAACACGTTGACGGTTAAGAACCGATATCCGTTACCTAGGATCGATGATCTGTTCGATCAGTTGCATGGGACATCTTGGTTCTCTAAGATAGACTTGAGGTCGGGTTACCATCAGATGAGGGTTCGGAATGAAGATATCCAGAAGACTGCATTCAGAACTCGTTATGGACATTACGAGTTTGTGGTGATGCTTTTGGGCTCACCAATGCCCTGGCTGCATTCATGGATCTTATGAACAGGGTGTGAAGGCAGATGCTGGATCAGTCGGTGATCGTATTCATTGATGATATTTTGGTATATTCAAGGTATAGAGAACAGCATGAGGAACATTTGAGGGAGATTCTTGGAGTTCTGAGATCGGAGAGGCTGTATGCCAAATTCTCCAAGTGTGATTTCTGGTTACAAGAGTTCTAATTCCTTGGGCACCTTGTAAACCAGAAGGGGATATTGGTCGATTCGGCCAAGATCGAGGCGGTGATGAGATGCTAAGTGCCGAGATCACCCACTGAGATCAGAAGCTTTCTGGGATTGGCCGGCTATTATCGGAGGTTTATCAGGGATTTCTCCAAGATCGTTGTGCCACTTACCAAGATGACCCGGAAGGGTGTTGCATTTTCATGGGGTCCGGAGTAGCAATCGTCATTTGAGACCCTTCGTCAGAAATTGTGCTAGGCCCCGGTGCTCGCACTCCCGGAAGGATGGAGAATTTTGTGGTATATTGTGATGCATCCATATCTGGGTTAGGGGAAGTGCTTATGCAGAGGGGGCACGTTATAGCGTATGCTTCGAGGAAGCTGAAGCCTCAAGAGTTGAGATATACCACCCACAACCTGGAACTGGGGGCTGTGGTGTCTACCCTCAAGATCTGGCGACACTATCTATATGGGGTTCGGTGTACCATATACTAGGACCACAAGAGTCTGAAGTACTTGATGGACCAGCCAAATCTGAATATGCGCCAGAGGAGATGGTTGGATGTGGTGAAGGATTATGATTGTGAGATCATGTACCACCTGGGCAAGGTTGTACCACCCAGGCAAGGCTAATGTCGTAGCCGATGCGTTGAGCCGTAGGGCGGAAAGCGCCCAGATCCGAGACTTTTGTATGAGGTTGACGGTGATGACTCCGATTCTGGACACCATCCGAGAGGCCCAGGTTGAGGCTGCAAGACCAGAAAACCGAAAGAGGGAGTAGGTTGTTGGGCAGGTATCGGAATTCGTTACTGATGGTCGGGGACTTATGACATTTCAGGGTCGGATTTGGGTACCGTTTGTGGGCGGGACGCATACCATTTTGATGGAAGAAGCGCATTGATCGAAATTCTCGATCCATCCCATGGCTACTAAGATGTATTTGGACCTAAAGAAGGAGTATTGGTGGCCTTGTATGAAGATGGATGTTGCATGGTTCGTCGAGAGGTGCCTGACTTGTCGTCAGGTTAAGGCCGAGCACCAGCGTATGCATGGTAAGTTGCAGGCACTGGAGATTCCCGAGTGGAAGTGGGAACATATTACCATGGATTTTATCACCAAATTGCCAAGGACTGCGAGAGGGGTCGATGCAATTTGGGTGATTGTGGATAGATTAACGAAGAGTGCTCATTTTCTTGCTATCAGTGAGAGCTCTTCTGCGGAGAGGTTGGCAGAGTTATATGTGAGGGAGGTGGTATTGTGGCACGGGGTTCCGATGTCGATCATTTCAGATCGGGACGTACGATTTACTTCTAGGTTTTGGAAGAAGTTTCACGAGGAGTTGGGTACGAGGCTGCATTTCAGTACCGCATACCACCCGCAGATAGACGGACAGAGCGAGCGGACGATTCAGACGCTCGAGGATATGCTCCGAGCGTGTGTTTTGGATTTTGGAGGGAGTTGGGACACCTATTTACCCTTAGCAAAGTTTTCGTACAACAGCAACCACCATTTGAGCATTGGTATGCCACCCTTTGAGCTGTTGTATGGGAGGAGGTGTCGAACCCCCATCTGTTGGGGAGAGGTGGGGCAACGGGAAATGGGTAGTTCGGAGATTGTGCTTCAGACGACCGAGCAGATACAACAGGTCAGGAAGAGATTGTTGACCGCTCAGAGTCGCCATAAGAGTTATGCGGACAGGCATCTGTCCGAGCTCGAGTTTCAGGTTGGTGACCTTGTGCTCTTAAAGGTCTCTCCTTGGAAAGGAGTGATTCGATTCAGGAAGAGGGGCAAGTTGGGACCTCGATATATTAGACCTTTCAGGGTAATCGCAAGGGTAGGCATGGTAGCCTACCGTTTGGATCTACCCGCAGAGATAGGTCAGATCCACGACACCTTTTATGTGTCGTAGTTGAGGAAATGTATTGCCAATGAGTCGGCAGTGGTACCATTAGAGGATATTCAGGTAGATGCAGGCCTGAACTATGTTTAGAGACCAGTGGCAATTAGGGATCAAAAGGTTAAGGTTCTGAGGAACAAGGAAGTACCCTTGGTGCAAGTGTAGAGGCAACATCAGAAGGGGTCCGAGCTGCCATGGGAGTCCGAGTCTGAGATGCGGGAGCAGTATCCAGAATTTGGTGGTTGGCTATAAAAGGAATGAGATGGCTTGGTTCCTCAGCCACCATCCTTCAGAAAGAAACCCTGAGAGAGTTGTTCCTTCGTTCATAGCTTGTTTGTGAGTGTTCTAAGCTTTGAGGTGTCATTTCAAGGTAGAAAAAGAGAGGAGGAGTCCATTGTGGAGGCTAGAAGTTGGTGTTCAAGTGTAGATCCGTGAATAGCAAAGGTTGGAGCTTCTTCCTAAGGTAAAAAGTTCAGATCTTGCCTTCTAGTTCTTGTGGTATGCTTTATGGACCATTTTCTAGGGTTTTGGTCCCAAAGATGGAGACTTTATGAGCAAGTAGTCTCCATTGACTTAGATCCATCATATTTCTGGTCCATTTGAGTTGTAGGTTTATAAAAATGTAATCTTGGACGTGAATGATTAGCCATGCATGAGATCTAGATGTTTTGAGTTGAAATGGAAAGGTATTAAGGAGTGTTGGAGCCTTTACCGCCATGCCAAGGCTTAAAGGTTTCGACTTTATGGGAAAGGAGACTTAAAGAGAGCCGGATCTAGAAGTTGAAGAAGTGTCTTAACCATTTAAGACCAGAAATGAAGAGTGGCTGAATCTGGGTGTTACGCTGGGCGTAACTCCCAGTACGCACAACATACTGGGTGGAGACCCTGACAGTGGATCAGCAATGTACGCCCCGCGTACATGAGTCATGTGATATGTTGACTTTTTTTTACTTTTAGGGTTTTGGTCAACATGTGGACTTTGAGTCAAGGGAGGGTAAAATGGTCTTTTACCCCTCTGAGGAATATTAATAAGGGTAAAGCCTAGTCTTAGAAGTCTATTTTAATTAGAATGATATTTCGTTGTGATTAGGCGGTGTTGGGTCTTTGTTTCGAGATTTGGAGATAGCGAGCACGTGAGATTCTAGACTTTCCATGAAGTGAGTTTTCTCACTATACTGTACCCGGAAGGGTTTTATTGTGTGACCGGAAGGTTGGCTATGTTATGAGTTGTATGCATTGTATATGATAAGTTAATCGGTTGTATGTGCTATGTATGTTATGCTTGATATGGGTCGTAAGGCATTATGTTATGGGCCGGAAGGCATATATGTTATGGGCCGGAAGGCGTTGTGATGTGGACCGTAAAGTTGACGCGGGTAGGACCGGAAGGTTTACCGAGTTGGGACGAAAGTCCCCTGAGACACATGGACCGGAAGGTTAGGGCCTGGAAGGGTGTATGTGCGTAAGTAGTGTTTTGGGGAATTCACTAAGCATTTATGCTTACAGTTGTTGTGTTACGTGTTTTAGGTACTAGCGAGGACCGTGGGAAGGCGCTGACGTGATCTGTACACACTATCGGAAGATTATTTATGATCTTTGGATTTTACATGATTTGTTTTATGTTATGATACATTGGATTTTATGATTTGATCGGATAAAAACATGTTTTAAGAAATGAAAATTTTGTTTTGAAAATTTACGATGTTACAGGTAAATATTAAAAAAAACGTCTCAGAAAATAGCATAGAGTAGCAAAGAAAGATTGAAGTTTGTCTTCAAAAACAGGATCACTTTTCCACTTTAGGAATCAACAATATTTTTCTTCCAACAACTTTGGCATCTCCAATACGGGGTGCATTAGGTTTCGTTGCTGATTCATAAACGTCATCATCAAGATCGTAATTCGTAAACATCTACAAGTTTACGTTTGGCACTTATAGGTGGAGAATTGAGGTTGGCGGCTGTTCTTGATGATGGAGTTGTACAAATGCCAGAGGGAATATTCGACACAGGAGTATTATCAGCATTGTGGGAAGTAGCATCCTTCAATTAAAGATGAAATAATGTTCATTTTGTAAAATATACAGGATAACATATATAAAAAATGATGTTGTATTATAGTTTACCTTACAACCCACTGTGTCTTGAGATGCAAATTCTAAGCCAATTATATTAACTGATTCAGTATCCATGTCCTATAAAAATATGAATAAAATAAAAAGTATGTTTGGTTAAGGAATCTAGAAAATAGTATTTTGAAAATATATATGTTTTAAGTTCCTTAAGTTGGTGTATTTTTACCTGTTCAATCCTACTCTTTTTCTCAATATTTTCCAAAGCAGAAAATGTCAACATTTTCTGTTATTTTGGAAATGCTGTAAGTACGACCAAATCTTGAAAAATTATTTGTCTTGACAACAATCTTGAAAGCTAATTTTTTGTCGATCATGGCATTCAACTCAGTAGGAAACTCACTTGTATTGCCGAACTACAAAAATAAATATTAATATTAATAGATAATAACAATTAAATAAACATATGAATTAAGTTGTATTTAGCAAAATGGTATTGCATATAAGAAACATATACCCTTTCATATTTTGATAATAAATCAGCAGCAGATAATTTCAAAATATATCGGACTTCACGATCAAACATCGTAAGACTGACAACACCAACTAAACCTTGAACTCGAACTTTGATCATACAGCTAAAAAAAACACATAAAAAATTAAAAAGTATATATATATAATATATATATATATATATATATATATATATATATATATATATATATATATATATATATTGAAGAATCATATACTAAGTTAATATTTATTACACACCTTGGTTCAGCAGTAATAAATTTGTCCTTGCACTTGTCCAAACCATTGACTGTCTCATCTGGAACCTTACCTATTTGAACCTTTGACTTGCAATTATTGCAAGCATTATAATACCGGTTCCGTTTACCTTCAAACATCTTTATTGTGCCAAGAATTACTGCACAACCTCCCTATGAAATTAAGTGTATTTAGGTGTAGTAAATATTTAAGTATTGTATTAACTAAATTAAAAAAGGGATAATTCATATACCTCGCCCTATTCATGAATAGCAGATATTTGGTGAAAAGAGTTTTTTTTGAAGAAAGTCATCATGTAGTGAATACATGATGGACGATCCCGAGGTACGTGAAACCGAAGGGCTCAAAGAGCTTTATTTTGCTTTTAAACTAATTAAGTCAATTAATATTAGACAATATAACTCTATATTATTAAAACATTAAAACGAAATGAGAAATCATGTAGAAATTTGACCTAACCTTTTTGTGAAAGTGGTTATCTCGTCAATGTCATCTTCAATATAAAGTTTTGTGGCTAAGTAGGTGTTATTGACATAAGGACGACCTGAAAATGAAATTTAGTACTTTTTTTGCATGTTAACAAATTCATATCATAGATATGTTGTTAATAAAAATATTACAAATTAATACTTTACTAAGTAAGTACCTCGGACAAGTTTCAACTTAGCACATTGAATAAGCAATAGAAAATGACCGGTATGCTTAGAAACATATGCATTAATTTCATCAGCATACCTTCCCCATAGAGTTACAAAAATTTCATGTCCTTTATAAAAAGTAATGAAAATTATTAAAAAATATATCATAAGAAGAATAATTATAGGAATAAAAATGAAACCCACTCTAAATCTTCCATTTTGAATGTGATTTTCTTGTCCAGTTTGTCCTTTGCAAGTTCCAATGGAAAACACTGGAAAACATTTCCTATAACATCTATATTATACAACTGAAAAAATGTAAGTATGTTTTTTTTTTTTTTTTGCAGTTTAAAAAAATGAAATTTAAATAATCTAATCCATTAGGAATGGATTGAAAGGAAATGCACTAACCAAATAAAATATTCGGGTTGATTGCATTATCATGAAGTTGTTGGAAGTCTACAAAATCAAAAGAATTGTGTGGCCCGCAAAAATCGCTGCATTAAGTTACCTTTGTGGTATACTGGAAATAGAGCTTGTGTGGACCGTCAACAAACTTTATAGAACATCCATTTAAGCCTAACGTGGGTTTATGAATGTATAAATAACCATATTCTACAAAAGATTTTCCTTGAAGCGATGCAAATGGTGTGTCCACATTACATTCAATTTTTGAGCCCTTAAGATAAAAAATCAAATATTAAGTAATAAGCATACAATAAATGTAATGATATATAAAATATGGAAGGTATAATACACATACATATATAAGTTAACATACATAAGTTAACATACATAAGTTGTAACTTACCATTTCATCCATTAATATCATTCCAATCATACGAATTTGTTGATTCCATGAAGTTTGTTTCCACAGACGAATGACACGGAGTCACGGACCTTAATTGTATAGTCATCTTGTGAGAGAGTCAACTGACTTATCATGATAATCTTCCTATTTTCCATTAATCTATGCAAGGATGTTGTAATGAACATCAGAAAAGACAATTTCAATTGCATAAATGATAAAACACATTTAGGTCGGTCATGATAAAATAAATTACATTTCCCTGTATGTAATAACAATGTAAAAGTACATAATAGAATACATATACACAGAATGTGAAAAGGGCATTAAGAGAAATAGCAATAGCAAGAGGGCAATAGTGGCATGTGTAGGGGTATATCAGGAAAATAAATACATATACATAGAATACATATACACAGAATGTGAAAATGGCATAAAGAGAAATAGTAACAACAAGGGGGCAATAGTGGCATGGGTAGGGGTATATTAGGAAAATAAATACATATACACAGAAGGTTGTTCAATACTCGTTTATCATGTTAATAGTAAGGACATTTAAATAAACTGAACCAAACAACTTAAGGATTAATAAGGACTAATCAACACTTCACAATGATTCAACCAATAGTTTGACAAATTAGATTTGAGATAATACCAGAACATGTTGTTTGACTCAATTAAGTGTGAAATGGTAGAAGGATATCAAGCAATAATATAAAAATTGTGTTTTAAATGAAAAACATTCGAAGCAGCGGAATTATGTCTAATTTGGTAAACAGTCAAAGTATAAAATCGATTTTCTTAAACTCTTTCATATATCAACCACCCTAATGGTTAATATTAAACAGAAATAGCAGTAGTGGCATGTGACAACAGTGGCAGGGTAGGGGTATATCGGGAAAATAAATACATATACATATTTTAGAACATGAACAGTTAAGCAGGCACACACACAAATACACATTAAGAATCAGAATAACTCATCGTTAAGGCGATAATCACAAGATTTGAACAATAACTCATTATTAACTCAAAAGACCTTGATAACATGATGTAGAAAAGCACAATAACACACGTATTACACTTTGATGATGTTGAGATTTGGAAGACAATGCTGTGAACTTAATCTTTGAAGAAATAGTGATAACGGACAAATTGGAATGTATTCATACCTAATTTATAAAAGTTATTTTGGAAAGGATATCAAAGTTTATTTTGAAAATATACAATATTCAAAATATTAGTTATAAATGGAAGGGATTGACTTGAATTTGAAAGGTATTGCTGAAATTTATGGTTGTAATATGGGAAGGTTTAATTTGAACGTAATACATTGACATATTTTTTACTGGACACTTTAATGATACATTAAAATTTCTTTAAATATGAAACGTATCTACAAGATTACGAGATATCGTTGTTCAATTTAAAAAAAAAAAAAAGAATTCAAAATTTGATATCCTTTCCGTAATCATTGTTGAAAGTTGTGTATAAATCATGTGCTATTGTTCGTATATTATGTTCTCTTCAGAACCTTTGTAGCATCACATTTGAACAACATCACCCTTTGCAGCATCATGTTCATCATCCAGGTTCCTTCTTCAATATGATGTTCTTAATTTTTATTAATTGTATTAGATTTTTGATTCTCGTTAGTGTTGTATTTGACTGTGATCTTTGAATTCATGAATAATCTTGATTATAAATGTTAGTATTAGTTTTTCAATCTTTTATTTTGTCTTTTAACATTGCATTTGATGTTGCACTCTACATGTTTGATAAAATGCCCATGAGATAAGTATAGTGACTTTTGATTAACTATATGTATGTATGTATGTATGTATGTATGTATGTATGTATGTATGTATGTATGTGTGTCTTACGTAATTAAAATTTTCTAGAGATTGTTTTAATTATCAATATTACACTGCTATTGATTTGACATATTTGCCCATAATTCTTGGTTTTTAACATATTTACTTAATAGCAATGTACTTTGACTTTAATCTATAATGTTTTGAATTGCAATTTCTAAATTTCTTTTGAGTTGTTATAACTGTGTTCAGTGAATATAAAGTGCATTGTAATTTCTATTTTGTTTTTAACATATTTAGTTACTAGCAATGTGCGTATGTGTTTTTTTATTTAAAAAGCCAAAGCTTTTATTTCAACATTTTCCCCTAATTTGTCCATGTCCTTGAAATGTCATATCTCGGTCATGGGAAACCCTTTTTGGTCGAAATCAATGAAAAAAGTTTTGTATTTAAGACAGTTAATCTTGAAATCTTTATATATATTAAAAGAGAAAACTTATGACGTCATCTTCAACAATCAAGACCATTCATTGTGTTTTCTTGATTAATTTCAACTCTTAGATCATTTTGATGATGTCATCCTAAAATTAAATTTAATTAAATTAATATTGACTAAATTTGAAAGTTTGACTAATTGATTTAATGTTAATTTCATTTATAAAAGGAATGTATTCAACTCATTTAAACTTCATCATAATTTTTGAAAGTAAATTTCGTTCCTTTCTAATTATAATTACATTCTTAAATATCACATTTCGTATATATTCTTTCAATCCATATCTATTATATGAAACGTATCTACAGAATTACGGGATATCGTTGCTCAATTTAAAATATCAAAGAATTCCAAATCTGATACCCTTTCCATAATCATTGTTGAAAGTTATGTATAAATCATGTGCTACTGTTCGTATATTTTATTTTCTTCAGACCCTTTGCAGCATCACATTCGAACAACATCACCCTTTGCAGCAACATATTCATCATCCACATTCCTTCTTTAATATGATGTTCTTAATTTTTATTAATTGTATTTGATTTTTTAATTCTCATTAGTGTTGTATTTGACTGTGATCTTTGAATGCATGAATAATCTTGATTATAAATGTTAGTATTAGTTTTTCAATCTTTTATTTTGTCTTGTTAAACTTGCATTTGATGTTGCACTCTACATGTCTGATAAAATGTCCACAAGAAAATCATAGTGACTTTTGATTAACTGTATGTATGT